ATTATTATTATTATTATAATTATTATTACTGTTATTATTAACATTATTGTTATTATCATTATCATTATTATCATTATTATCTTTATTATTATCGTCATCATTACAATTATTATTATCATCATTAACATTATCGTTATTATTGTCATTGTCATTGTTATCATTATTGTTATCATTATTATCATTATTATTATTATTATCATTATTGTTATTATCATTATTACTATTATCATTATTATGATTATTATCATTATCATTATTATTATCTTTATTATCATTATAATTATGATGATCTTTATTATTATTAATTTTATCATTATTTTATCATCATCATTTTTATCATCATTTTATCATTACTATTGCTATTATTATTACTATGGTTATGATTGTCATTATTTTCATTATTTGTATTATTATCGCTATTATTGCTATCATTATTATTGGAATTTTTATCCTATCATTAATATTGTTGATATTGTTGTTGTTGATTTAATATCACTATTATTATTATCATCATTATTGGTATTATTATCATTATTATTATTATTTTCATCATTATTATTATTATCATTATTACTATCAATGTCGTTGCTACTATGACTATCATTATTATTATAATCATTATTGTTATCTTTATCATAATTGTCCATTATTATTGTGCTGGTTTTAATCAATATCATTATCATTTTCACTGTTTTTATCATCATCATCATCATCATTATTGATAATATAATGATCGTTATTATTGCTATTTCAACATTATTATGATTATTGCTATTTTTGCTATGATCACTAGTAATATTAGTGATAGCATCATCATCATCATTACTATTATTACTATTACTATTATTATTACTATCATTATTATTATTATTATTATTATTATTATTATTATTATTATTATTATTATTATTATTACTATTATTATTATTGTTATTATTATCATAATTATCGTTATTACTATTATTGTTGTTGTTATTAGTATTAGCATTATCATCAAATTTATTTCTATATTATTAGCATTATCGTTATTGTGTTGTTATTATTATTATCACTACAACAGTAGGCCAAGTTATAGTAACGTAGAGGAGATACATACAATATTACAACGTAAAAGTCTACGGACCGAACACTTCAGTTTATAATCATCGCCGGGTCTATAAGCATAAGCTGGCATTATTCTAGAAAGGAAAGTAAAGAAAAATGAGAGAAGAGAAAAATAGGAGATCGCGGGTAGGTCTCTCTCTATCTTTCTCTCTTTCTCTCTCTCTCTCTCTCTCTCTCTCTCTCTCTCTCTCTCTATATATATATATATATATATATATATATATTATATATATATATATATTTCTCTATCTCTCTTTCTGTCGGTGTATCCGTCTGCCTGTCTGCCTCCGTCTGTCTGCCTCTCTCTCTCTCTCTCTCTCTCTCTCTCTCTCTCTCTCTCTCTCTCTCTCTCTCTCTCTCTCTCTCTCTCTCTCTCTCTCTCTCTCTCTCTTTCTCTCTCTCTTTCTCTTCAAGCACTTCTAGCAAAAAATAGATCGAAGTGTCAGTTTCCAGGTTTAAGCTCTTTAATCCTTAAAGACTAATAAAGAAAAGCAGGATTACCTTCCGCAGATTTTGCTAAATTGTTACCATAATAATTTCCATCGTCTTCATTACCCTTTCTGCCGCAAAGCTACATTTGTTACATTACATCGTACTAGTTTAAGCCATGGGGTAAGATACGTCATTTTCACTGCTACTAGTGTCGGCTGCTGTATAAAAAGTGCCGACGTGAGATCCAAAGGCAAAGAGGGGGTGAAATCTCTGTTAATGGACCTTGCTTCTCCTGTTCACGTGACCACCACCTTTGATAATGATAAAGATTATCCTGGTGTGTAATTAAGGTGGCGTTTGCATCTTATGTGTTATATAATAAGGTGATGAGGATTGTGATTTCTTATCGCATAGGTGAACATAGTTCTCAGTTTAATTAATCTGTCTACTTTTCAGTATGTAGGTTTGCAAGGACAACATAAGTTGCTTATTGAGAGAAGGGATGGCCTGATTGTTACAGTAGAAGAAAAAAATATTGAATAGGTATCATTGATAGATAATAGATAACAGACAAAAAATACAATTAAATGTCAATTAGCAATAAAAAAACATGCCAAGAATAATCATAAATATAAAAAATATGTATGTATATAAATTTGTTTATGATCAGTAAGCCAAACTCAGTATCAATATGTGTTGAATTAACAAAGAAATTACTGACAAAAAGCTTTACCAACATATGAGAAAGAAAAAATACGAAGATTCAAGTTTCAGGAGAACTGATTTACCCTTCTTGAAGCCCTTTTACCTGATTCTCTTTGCTTTCTTGTGCTTGTCCTGCCTGCGTCGACTGCCTCAGCTATGACACGCTGATCAGTTGGTACCTTCTGGCCTTGACCATGAGGGCGTGGCTAAGACTAAGCTAAGCTCCTCCTTCCACTCGGTATCAGCCAATAGTAAGCAT